CCCTTGCTCCTCCTTCAAACCATGAAACAACACATGAAAATGTTGTGTTTCCACACTCCAATTTCCATATTGGTTTTACCTTTGTGCAAGTTGCAAATATGCACAATGAAATCCCAGCAACTAGGAACGTGCTTACACCATATGCGAACTTGGTAATGGCAAGGATGTAACATCCCACATTGATCTACTGGGAAGTTGCTCGTGAGTTCTCAAAAACAAAATTATGAGGGCAGGAGTCTCAAAGCGGACAATATCTTGCTACGACGGAATTGATCCCGGGATGTGACAATTTGGTATAAGAGCCACTTTGTCGTGTGGTGCGAGTGTGCCAACTAGGATGTCGGGCCCCTAACGGGGGTGGATTGTAACATCCCACATCGACCAAGGAGGTGATGTGCCTTTTATGTATATGCCCACGAGGCTTTTTTGGAGCTCACTGGTTTCGGAGTCATGAGAACTCCGAAGTTAAGCGAGTTTGAGCTAGAGCAATCCTAGGATGAGTGACCTACTGAAAAGTTGCTCGTGAGTTCCTAGAAACAAAACAGTGAGGGTAGAGGGCCTAAAGCAGACAATATTATGCTACGACGGAGTAGAACTCGGGATGTGACAAAGGAGGTCTAACAAGACTGTAGTGAAAGACACCAATTTTTCCAATGCTCACCGTGCTGCTTCGATAGCAAATGTAGGATTGCATCTGCTAGCGAGGAACCAAGAGTGTGCCACATTGATTGCTCAAGTCGCATCCTTTAAGGATGAAATTGCCGAATTGCATAGGCTCCTCAAACATGCAAACCGACATATAGAAGCACTAAAAAAGAAAAATCGAGACTTTGCTAAACTGGTGGAGGTATTACAAACTCTTGTATCAAAGAAGAGACAGATAAGGATTTGAGATGAAGAGATGCAATTCTCTTTGATAATGAACATGAGTATTTTCTATGGTTTTATCTATTAACTATGAATTAGAATATTATCGTTTCATTTCGTTAGGTCTATTTTTTATAAATTTTTGTTAACCTTTTATACGTTGACCCCTCGAATGTAAATTCCTGTATCTGCCACTTCCCAGATTGTTCCAATAATGAGACAACTTGCACAACCTTATAGTCATTGGACCTAGCATCAAAATCGAATCCAATCGAAGCATTGTATTCACCGTGCGTATTCAATCTAACACTAGGCTTGGGAAAGGGTCACTAACTTTCTAATGGCTAGGGTTCCATATGAAGAAGTTGTAATGATAATCGAACATATCATCCGCTAGGCAGACTAGCCCGTCACAAGTGCCGACCACACGAATACATAAGTTGTTTTTTTTTTTTTTTTTCTGGACAGAAACTGGAAATTCTATCTTGGAGTTGTATTGATCAAAAGCCTGGTTATCATAATACACAGAGTGAACCTCGTCTATTATCTTGGAGACGACCCTTTGGCCGAAGATGTGGGGCTTCTCCATAGCAGAAACTTTGTGGAGTAGGAGGAGGTGACTGTCACAGTCATTCATATGGGCGCGAATAAAGCTCTAGTTTATGATCATGGACCTCCATGTCTTGCACACTGAGGTGCATTTGATGAGAGATTTGACGGGCAGCCTAACAAGGATATCTTGAATGATTTCCTGAGGAAAATTTAATTCCTGCATCCCTTGTGCGATATCTTGTATGACATTGGTAGTATCCATGTCTTGCACACTCAAATAGTTGTAACAAAATTTCTGGTTCTGCGTTTGAGAAGATGACGGAAGAAGAAGAAGAAAAGAGTAGAACCTTTCTTGCTTGTAGGATATTACTTCTGAAACCGAATATATGAGAGAATTTTGGAATTTTATGATATGGAAGTATTTATAAAGATGTACAAAGTGGTAAACCTAAAGGGTTTTTAGAAATCCGAATTACAATAGGATTATACAAAGGGTAAGTAATTACACAGAACCAAAAAAAAAGGAAACAAAAATATATTAAGATGTACAAAGTGGTAAACCTTAAAAAAGGGTTAGAAATTCTAATTACAATATAGGATTATACAAAGGTTAAGTAATTAATTACACACAAAAAACAAGGAAATTAAACATATTCTCCATCGGTCATGCTAGGGAGACTAACTTTAAATACCAACTTGTGTACCATCTCTCTAATAGAGCGTGGGCATTTTCCCTCTCGAAAACATTCCTTCCCATACATGATAATGTGGGTCGGCTTACATTTTGCCTCACCGTTCAATAAGTTAGTACCATCCTCCATTTGACTGGTGTGTTGTTCTATTAGCTTTAAATTGGGTTTGGATGCTTTTGGTTACACACTTTTTAAACATAACATATGCAATTGTTGCTCATGATCCAAAAAGGCTAAATATTCCATTATTTTGTTAATTTTCTTATTTTAATTCATTTTGGATTCCTAAGGTATATGGGGTATTTAAATCAACTTTGAACTCGTCGCTAGAGTTATGTTATGTTATTTCAGATTATCAATAAATTTGAGGTTTCCTCATTCTTCCTGTTGGATTCCATAGTTGTGTGTTTTAGGCTATAGTTTTAGGCATTCGATTGTCACACAGCGTCAAAATGCTTTCATATAATTTTGATGTTGATCAAATAATGTGAATTCCAAACCAACTTGTTAACATTTTAATACCCTTTTTTTTCCTGCGATTGCCATGCAACACTTTGTAATATTATAATTGTTATAGTAGGTGTTGTATCGTCTTCCTTAGGAACGTATTTGGCGGTTTCGAACATCGTTCAGAGCTCGATTCACTCAAGTTTTTGGGACATTTTCTTGGAACAGTGAGAGAGAACATGATTATTAATGTATTGTGGATCCTTAAAGAGCATAATATATAATATTTTCATTAAAAAAAAAGAAAAAAGAGAGAGTATATATAATCTCTTGGTGTTCATTTCGAATTTTGAGCCATCTTTGAATTTGTTGTATTATGCAATAAATCCTGTCAATATTACTAACTAGATGCTTCCATATTTCTATTAGTAAGACTCTGCATCGGTCTTGTCAAGTAAGATGAGGCTCTCTTTATGAAAACCAACGTCGCAACATCGATATCCATCAATCCCCAGATTTTTAACCTGTTTTTTCGCAAGGTTTAGTGATGCTAGTTCATTCCTTGTGTTGTCGTCAGTGCGAGTGATAAAAATCTTTCTGGACCTTGTCGACCGAGAGTCATCAATTTCGTCCATGACTCCGTTCTGCCATACTCTTTCATCACCCCATATATCAAGAATACAATCTTCATTCCTGTTATCCACCTTGAACAAAGCAACAGCTTTTCTGTCCCCTGACATAGACAAACGCGATGACACCCGGGAATTCCATTTGATACCCTCGGGCATAAATATCTCATGGAACACCTCCTTGCCCAGGTCAAATGCCAAAATAGAATCATAAGGATGATGATAATCATGTCTTATAGCAGATTACAGACCAATGAAGAACCCCATTAACAAAAACATTGTTTGCAGCTTTTTCAAGCCTTAGACATCTAGGAGAAACAACACCAAGACTGCTCCATGTGCCCGTGGCTAGGGAATAAACGTCTGCTAGAGTTTGTAACCCACGCATGAGCGTTAAAGTGACAATTCGTACAACCTTATAGTCATTGGTCGTAGACTCGTAGCATCAAAACCAAATCCAATCGAAGCACTGTACTGGCCATGGGTATTTAGTGTAACAGCAGGCTCGGGAAGGGTCACGAACTTTCTAATGGATGGGTTCCATATGAACAAGTTATAATTGTAACCGAAAAGATCATCCACATCATCCACTAGGCAGACTAGCCCGTCACAAATGCCGGCCACACGAATACATGAGTCGAACGTTTTTTCCCTGACAGCATCTGGAAATTCTATCTTGGAGTTGTACTCGTCAAAAGCCTGGTTATCATAATGCACAGTGACAACCTCTATTACCTCGTACTCTATCTTGGGCACGGCATGGTCTTCTCCGTAGAAGAAACAGAATATCTGTGGACTAGGAGGAGGTGACTGTCAATATTATTCTGTGGACTGAGATGGGCGCGAATAAAGGTTTGGTTTATGATCATGGACCTCCATGTGTTGCACACTTAGGTGCATTTGATCAGAGATTTAACGGGTAGCCTAATGAGGATCTCTTGTATGATTTCCTCAAGAAAAGGGTGTGCCGTCGTCGCTTCAAAATTCAATTCGTGCATCCCTTGTGTGATATCTTGTATGGTAGAACAAAGTATATGAGATAATTCTCGATACAATGATAGGTATTTATTTATAAAGATGTATAAAGTGATAAACCGAATAGGGTGAAATCTGAATTACAATAGGATTCTATTACTTTTTTACTGACATTTTTTACAAAAGAAAAGGTCAAAAAGTCAGTAAAAAAGTCCCGACGTATGTTGGAATTTTTTAAAAATCCCTCCTCTATTACTTTTTTACTGACGGCTATACTATTTATCAAAAAGATTATAGCCGCTCGGCTATCCTATTTATACAAAAACTTAAATAGGCGACCGCAGTAAGGCCGAGCGGCTATACACATTTAAAAAAAAAAAATCCCATGTCTAGCCGCGCGGCTATACTATTTATTTAAAACAAAGGAACGGCCTAGCGGCAGTATAGCCACCCGGCTATACTCAATTTGGGGAAAAAATCCGGAGTATAGTCGAAAACCAAAAAAATACCAGTCTAGGGATTCGACGTCACGTGTGAAAAAAGTATAGCCGTTCGGCTATAAGACTTATTAAAAAACTAAAATTGAAAATATTAAAAAAAATAAAAACCAATCATTTGGGCCTAATTTAAAAAAAAAAAAAGCCAAGCAGTGGGGCCGGGTGGAAAAAAAAAAAAAAAACAAGGGCTATCTATAACTGGGCTACTTGTCTGTGTTTGGGCCTTCATCGGACACCAAAAACAACAAACAAAAAGAGACCCAAAAAAAAAAAAAAGGCGGCTGCTATATTGGTTCTTAACGAACTTCAGTCCGACGTCGCTTCAGCAAATCTGACCGTACCCGCTGGATCGAACAGTCCGGGTGACTTTTATTCCGTTGGTTTGGTGAGGCCATGTGGGTCCCGCTACCCTCCAGCCACTAACGCCGTCAGGCGCCGCTATTTTCCGTGATGCCAAACACTCCTTTTCGCCGTCACCTCAAATCCTCCGTCAACGGTCCTAAATAGTCCCAAGTCGACGGTTGCTCTCTCTTTCTCTGTTCGACATGTCCGTGGTACCTACCCACCCTGCTCTCAGGCACCTGGGAACCAGGGCCTCACGTGACCCGTCACGTGACCCTCCAACTTCACCCAAACTGAAAATTTCAATCTTGAGCTTCAGGCTCAGAGGGCTAACTCGCTACCCGCCTTCTTCAAATACTCTGGTCTTTTCCCGTAAATTTGATGAAATTCGGCGTCCAATTAGGGCCGTAAATGCTCTGAGCCAAGAAGGGTCGTTGCAAGAGCTCGATGATACGCCGGTCTCGGTGGAGCTCGTGCCGATTTCCGGCGAGACCCAGTTCGACCGGGTCATGGCCCAAGCGCAGCAGCTGGAGGAATCGGTCGTTGTCGTTTGGTAAGTTTCTGGGTTGTGATGGGATTTTGATTTGGTGAGGTTTTTGGGTTTTTGGGTTTTTGTTTGGTGGGTTCTTTTCATTTGGGTTTGTTTGGTTGCTGAGAAATGTAGGGAGAGAAAAAGGTGGAGGCTTTGACTTGCGTTTCCATGCTTAAGTGAAAGGAAATGCATAAAACTTTATTGGGAACTTGTGATTAAATTTTGCAAGCAGCACTTCACTTCTTCCATTGTTAAAAGATTCTTTATAGTTCAGAAATTTTCTGATTTGGCATTAAGAAATTGGTAGATTTTCCTTCTTTGAAATGAAACTTCAATTGAAATGTCTCTGTAGGATGGCAAGCTGGTGCAGAAAATGTATATATTTGAAACCAAAATTGGAGAAGCTGGCAGCTGAGTACTATCCAAGGTTAGTTTGGCACTAGTTCACCCTCTATCCAGTAGTATAAATTATAAATCATTTTCACATTGAAACTTCAGAACATTGATATGCCCCTCTAATTAAGATCAATTTTTCTGAGTTCCATCTATGCGCGCATTAATGAAAAGGTTTTGAATCAACTTAAATCTGCATTCTTTTAGTTTGCCAATTGTCAAACTCTACTAAAATTCTGATGAGCCATTCATGGAGAGATTAGAATAAAGCTTCAAGCTCTACTAAAATGCTTGCCCTTCTGATATCCCTGCCCTTGTAGAAGCATCATTCCTGGTGCTCAACTTATGATAATATAACAGTGAGATTTCCATATGCAGTCTGCAAAAGTGGCATTAAAATTATAATAGAAAAATAAATGTGTGAAAAAGGCAGAACAAATTGAAACACATTAAATCTCTCATTGTATATACAGATAAGTATTTTAAAGCAAAGTGAAACTTGTCATGCATTTATGTAAAGAATTACACACATGTGTACATATGCATTCTATGCTTAGATAATTCAATAGTATGTTATTGTTCTTGCTGGATTGTAACTCTGCAGTAGAGAATAAATCTAAATCTTAATTAATTTCATGTAGATTGCGGTTCTATTCTGTTGATGTCAATTCAGTTCCACACAAGCTTGTTGCTCGTGCTGAGGTCACTGTAAGTTTTTCATCTCACTTGGAAGAATATGTCAGAATGGCTTGTATTTGAATGGAAGTAGGGTCATGTAAGTTTGGGCTGAACGTCAATTGTAAAGTGTATAGCTTCACAGTAATGAGTAAAAGCCAAATATTCAAAATCTTCTGTGGGATATGGACGTGGCTTTTTCGTCATTAGCTATGGAAATCTTAGTAGCTGATCAGTGAAGTGATATGCAGTCTTCATAAGTTTGTGGTTTTGACTTTTGAGTTAGTTTGGTAGTTGTGGACATCATTTGAAGTTAATGTTGTTTGCACTGCGCGTGCAAGTGAGAGGGAGGGAGGGAGCTGGTGGGGTGACTTGCCAAGCTATATGAGTTTTGAACCTTGTTAGCTCCACCAATGTTATCTAGGTCATCTTTATATGATTAAGTCTTTACTATAATCCCACGTATCTTGTGCTCTGCATTTTAAAGCCATCCTTTTTTTTTTTTCTTTTTTTTCCGGTGCATCACATGATGGGCTTCCGAAGTCTGTATGTCTGTGATCATAAAACCATGGGAATTCTTAAACTTGTCAATTGTATTATTTTTGCCTTGCTTCAGCTTGAGAAGATGTTCACTGACAGTTGTGTTTTTTTGTGCTATTTACATGGCGGGCTTTCATATCTGTGCAGAAGATGCCAACTATACAGGTAAATCCTCTTTGAGGAACTTGGGATGTTTTTTCTCCCCCTTTCTTTTTTCTTCTCCGTAGTAATCACGATGATTATGTTACAGCTGTGGAAAGATGGCAAGAAACAAGCTGAGGTGATCGGTGGTCACAAGGCATATTTAGTCGTTAATGAAGTTCGTGAGATGATTGAAAATGAGGATGACAGGTGAGGTTTGGTAACACGGACAGTCTTATAATTCACAGATTCATTAACATGAAAAATCAAAGTTGTAAATTTTTTTTCTTCATAAATATATAAATATACCAGATTTAGGGTACAGAATAAATGGAAAACTGGTTCTTTTGTTTTCAGTAAGAGGTATCCCTGGCTTAGCCAAATACAAATCCCCTATTAGCTGCATAACCATGACTTTTCCCCTTGTGTGTGTTGGAACCCAGCTTTTGCTTGGATAGTCTCCTTTTACGTCAGCACTACGAAACACAATGCTCACGTTATATTTGATCTGGAGGAAATTTGTCACCTTCTTTCAGCATCGAGTTCTAAATCAACCAACAAGAAAATCGCAGGGGACTGCTATTTTGACAGAAGATGATCTGCAGACTTACTAGATTCTTACTTGAAAAACTAGTGCCACACACTTTTTCGTATTTTAAGAGTATAGAACATAAAACATAAGTTGAGAGCAGAAACCCATATATTTTTTCTTGGCCAGCCATATGCAGAAAAAACAAGCAATAACAAAGAATACATCTACTCATTTTTAGAGTAGATTCCGCTAGAATAATTGCATTGAATTTTTCTGTCCTCAAAATTACATTGGTCATTTACAGAGCCGAACACTCTAAACTCCCAATAGAAAATCTTCAGAACTATTCCCTCCATTAAATTCAACCTCCAAATTTTTTCAACAATTGTGATGCTGAACTTATGACTCTGATGGCCAAGTACAAAACGATAGGTGAGTATCTAGTGTTGCAAGTCATGACCAAGGACAAGCTTGAGCCGACGGTCTTTTCCTATGATTTTCTGAATGAATAGCTTGAGCCAATGGTTACCTCTTGGTATTTTAATCAGGATGAATAGTTTTCATCAGGGCCCCAATCCATTCACGAACTGTGATGTGGGTGCATTTGGCCATGGTGGGTTCTGTGATGTGATGCCGATGATGGCGGTTTCAGGGCAATGGAGTGTGTGGTAGTAGATGAGTGCATCCCAATTCTCATACGTGTGCAGCAAATGCAATGCAAAGTTTGTGGCCATAGTTTCAAATAGGTAGCAAAACTAATGATATGAAGACATTGAAAAACAGTAACAACGGCAGAGCAGCATTTAAAGCATTAGAGAAGCTGATGTTGCTGCAGACAGGGCAGCAGCAGCATGCAACTACGAGAAGTCACAAAGTCACAACACAAATAGGTAGCAAAACTGAAGCAAACTTTCTTCATCTTCTACATTTTCGTTTGTTTGGTTAAGTTTGCAGCGCGGGCATTTAAATGGTTCAAACTTTGGACAATTGAGCAGAGCTGAAAAAGTCTCCATAATTAGCTCCAACGTTTTGGTTTTGTTTGGTTCACCATTATGTGAGCTTCGGTGGGCTGGGACCCATAGAGGATGCCAAAATTCTTATCCTATTTAATGCTAAAACCCTAATGCATAAGAACTTTTGTTTGATAATCTACGTTAAACTAATCTAAATTACGAGGAGAGAGATTTGAATTTGGGTGCATAATGGAGAGCACATTCGCTCTAGCCAACTTGACTAAGTCCATATCGAATGAAGAAAAACTTTGACCATTTAGCTTATCACCAAAACGAAAACCTTATATTGGCCTGACCATTTAATAAATTTCGGGTTCACAACACTTCAATTGTTGCACCCAGTATAGTAGGCTAGGAAAATTTTATAAAAAATCAAGGTCCTCAAGGAAGCAAAATTTTGTACACATTTGCTGTTAGGCGAGCTCAGTTTTCTCAAAAACGATGCAAGAAGCTTGTAGTTCAAGTGGTTAACAATATTTACCCATGCATTCAATGTCATAAGTTCGATTCCCCTCTCTCCAATATCATTTGTATAAAAATAAAAATAAAAAACCTCTGAAAAACCGTAGACTTGTCAATAGATACATAAAACATCTCATTTTCCGCTTTAATAACAAGCAAACTTTTGGGGAATGCATTAACAATAATCAATGTTTTTTTTGTGAGAACATCACGATTGCAAGAGTGTGAGCCATTGCCTAAATAACATTAGAAAAGTTCAGACATTTACTTGTATTTATAAATAAATAAATAAATAAACATAAAGTGACATTGCCTAGAAAAGAAAAACATAAAGGTGGGACACAATAAATCACAAAGAAACCAAATAAGGAAAAAACACAACTAAAAGTGAAGCCAATAAATAAGTTTGTCACAACGCCCATGCACGTACCCCCTCCCCTGCACCGCCCATCACCGTCCATCCCTTAAATCCGACGGTCGACGTTTCCTCTCTTCCCGCCATGTCCCCACCAAAACTCTCTCTCTCTCTCTAAACATTAAAAAGTGGCCGTTTCGAAGGATATCAGGCCCACACGATCCCATATCCAACCTTAGCTTCTCTCTCTCTCTCTCTCTCTCTCTCTCTCTCTCTGTGTAAAGTTTCTCTCTAACCCTTGGAATTGTTCCAAAATTCGTTTACCTAGATTTTCGATCACACACAAACCTTTAGCATCTCATACATTCATACATATAAAAGGTATATAACTTTTGTTTATACATATAAGAATTGGAGCTCCTTTGCGATCAATTTCGCGACGTAAGTCCCTCCCTCCTCCTCTGCGACAAAGTTTGATCCCTGCCATGTTTCAGTAGCGATTTCAATACAATTCACGAAAATTAATTTTCGACAATTCATATTGTTATTTGTTATTGATCATATGCATTTGATTTTGATATGTTTCATTATTTGACGCAGTTAGCCGAGGATCTGTTCGGGCTTTGTTTCGTATTGATCGATGTGAGGATTTCTCCTCACGCTAAGCGGTATGTAATTATTGGTTTCAATTTTTTATGTTTTGGAATGCTCAATTTTTGCTTCGGGAAACAAAAAATGGCTGGGAGGGGATGTCATAATGGGATTGAATTATACAATTATGTTTTTTTGTTGCATTTTGGTCCTTCTAATTCAAAAGTTACCCCTTTTTTTTTTCGGGTCGAAAAGTTAGCCGTTTATGTACCCATCTTAACGATTTTTTTTTATTATTGAAGCCGAAAGTAGCTGAATTTTTTAGAATTCAAATTGCTTATATGTTTTTGAGAGTTTAAATTTAGATTCTTTTGGTGGTTTACTGTGTTTATATACTGTTAATTTGTGTTTTTGTTTTTGATGATTTAGAGGTTTGGAGATGGCTACTGGGAGTAACATAGATATGCTATCAACCCTAGATAATAATCTGCAAAGACCCAATGGGAATTTAGAAGATGCTTTACAGACTGAGCTTGAACTGATTTTAAGAGAGCAGCGAAATCAGCATGCCATTCATCGGGAAAGGGATCTGAATATATATAGGAGTGGCAGTGCCCCGCCAACTGTTGAGGGATCGCTAACTGCTGTGGGTAGTCTCTTTGGGAACTCTGATTTTAGGGATGTCACTAGTAGGATTAGTAATAACAATGGGGTTTTGTCTGAGGATGAGATTCGATCGCATCCTACTTATCTTTCATACTACTATTCACATGATAATATTAACCCAAGATTGCCTCCACCATTGTTGTCAAGAGAGGATTGGCGTATTGCTCAAAGGTTTCAGGTCGGTGGGCCTTCTTTTGAGGGCATTGGGGACTGGCGGAAGAAGAAATTGGTAGATGACGGTGATAGTTTGTCGCTGTTTTCAACGCAGCTGGGGCTTTCCGTACAAAAGGCAGAGAATGATTTGATGGAGTTGAGGAATGGCAATGGAAGCAATCTCCCTAAACAGACTTCATCTGAGTGGCTTGATAGAGGCTCAGATGGTTTAATTGGTTTGTCGACAAGTGGGCTTGGTGCAAGGAGGAAAAGTTTTGCTGACATTTTACAGGTAATCAGCAGTACAGTCAAGACTTCACTCTGTAGCATTTATGTAGTTCTTGGTTAGACTTCGATTGTATGGTTTTCTTTCTGGATTTTGTTTGGATGCCCTTTAACAGCTATTATTGGTATTTGTTTATTTCTCACAATTTGTATACTTGGGCGTCTTCATGTTCTTGATCACTGCCCCCTTTTGATTAGTATTGCTCTTGTGCGGAGGACTAGATGTCGGTTTGAAGCTTGCACACAGTTTATGCATACTGTCATTTTAGATTTGATATTTATTGCATACTACATGTGATCACACATTTCCATAAGTCCTGGGACACCCATATAGGGATAAAGAGCATGGATGTAGCCAAGAGCATGATCCTACTCCTTAGAATCACTGTTGCAACTATCTGAACTGACTTCTGTTGGAAGTGCTAGCTTTTATATTGTATGCACATGTCATAACAAATGCATCACGTTGTGCTAAGTTCTCATTTCTTTTTGCTTTTTCCTCTTCCTTTCTAGATATCAAGAAAATGCAGATGTTTATTAGTTCTTCCTGGTTCTTATGCAGAAATTTTCATCATCTGGATTCTTTAAATTAATATGCTTATATTTTCTCTTTGCCAAATAAATTCAAACGATGTGGTTTGGTTTGCCATGCACAACTACTATGATGAAGTGCTTGGTTGTTTTGTTCTTGTTTCATCTATTAGTGCCCTGTTTCATTGATAACTGGCATGTGCTGCAGGAAGGACTTGATCCACCTGGTTCCTTGACAAGGCCATCAAGTCGTATTGCTTTTAGTGATATCATGGATTCCACAGGCATGGCTGATGCCCGGCCAGTGGGGTTATGTAATGGAGTGGAGTCTGCAGACGGCTTGCATAATGGAGCAGCTTCATGTGGCCTGGTGGGAGTTCAGAGCCATGGTACAGCAGCTTCTCATTCCTTTGCATCTGCTGTGGGTCCTTCTCTGTCAAGAAGCAGAACCCCTGAACAACTATTTGGGAGGTCTCCCAGTGCTGGTCTTCCTCCTGTGGGGAGTAGAGTATTTCCTGTTGAGAAGAAGAATGTTGCAGGTCCAGATATGCCAAAGGATAATTCTTCTGGCATGAATGATCTGGATATTGCAGCCAATTTATCTGGCTTAAGTCTGTCAAAAGGTAGATCTGTAGATGAAGATAGCCGTATTCAGTCTCAGCTTCATTTGGATCTTGATAAACAGCGTGATTTTCTGTTCAACATGCCAAATGGTCATAATCAGAGGCTGCAGCAGCAACTGATAGAGAAGTCAAATGCTGAAAGTTTTTCTCTTGCTTCGAATTATCCTCATTTAGCAAAACAAAATGGGATCATGACAAACCGTAATACATCTGATGGGCAAGCTAATTTTGGCAGAAGAACTTCTGCCAGTTTTTACTCAAAAGGGAGTTCTTCAAGCTTTGGAACTTTGGAAGGATCTAATGTTCATTACCAAGATGCAAATACTCCAGGCATGGAGTTTCATGGCCATTCTGGGGCCTATCCTGTGATTCCAAAGTTGAATATGACAATTAATAATCATCTTGATGCAGGTAATTATGTTTCTCAAATTTCTTCTGCAAATTTTTTTAATTAAAAAAACCCTCATAGTATTTTGTTTGAATAAGTTAATTAGCATTGACAGTTCTCTCTCCCCCCTCTCCCCTCATTTTTTTTGGAGTGCAGCAGCATTGCCTGGTAGTGGTGATGGGCATAGTATGAACAGACTGGGAAACAAAGTAGGGTCTGGTCTTCATTCTTCAGTTATGGATCCATCTTATATTCAGTTTTTGCAAAGAGCTGACTATGCAACACGTAATGTTACTAGTCCAAGTGGTTATTCTCCCAGTAAAAATCACTTTGGCACTTTGCATGGAGACTTAGAGGGGCTTCAGAAAGCATATCTTGAGGCATTGCTTGCTCAACAGAAGCAACAGTACGAGTTGTCATTTTTAGGTAAATCTGGTGGATTTAACCATGGGTATTATGGGAATCCATCATATGGGCTTGGCATGACATATCCAGGAAATCCAATGGCAAATTCTGTTCATCCTTCTGTTGGATCTAGTAGTCCAATGTTTCAGAATGAGAAGATTGAACGCTTTAATTCAATGTTGAGAAGTTCAATGGGAGGGTCAGTTAGCTCCTGGCAATCAGAGATTGGAAATGACCTAGAAGGACGACATGCATCATCATTATTAGATGAGTTCAAGAACAATAAGAATAAGTCTTTTGAACTTGCAGACATTGTTGATCATGTAGTTGAGTTCAGGTACTTATAATACTTTCTTTAGTGCATATTCTTCTTAGGTTGTTTTGGCTGCAATTCTGACTGCACCATCTTCTCCTCAAAATACAGTACTGATCAGTATGGAAGTCGCTTTATTCAGCAGAAACTTGAAACTGCCACTGTGGAAGAAAAGATGAAGATATTTCCGGAGACTATTCCTCATGCTCGTACCTTGATGACTGATGTATTTGGAAATTATGTCATACAGAAGGTATCAGCTTTGTATTTCAATAGTAAAAAATGCAATCCTTACAGTTCAAAACTATTAATTTAATTGTGTGAATTTGCAGTTTTTTGAGCATGGTACAGAAAGCCAAAGAAAGGAATTAAGCAGCCAACTTACTGGCCATGTTTTGCCTCTGAGTCTTCAAATGTATGGTTGCCGGGTGATTCAGAAGGTGATTTTCCGATCCTCAAATTTTGATCTTCTTCCTATTTCTATCCTTTTAGTAATGTCTTTCTAGATGTTTCCTCAAAATTTGCATTAGCATTGTTATGAAATCAGTTTGTCCAGTTTTTGCTTTGGGGAACTCTTTCTAGCATAGCATTTGTTATTATTCTTGCCACTTAAGTTCTTCATTTCGCAAATGATGTGCTATAATGTATTTGACTATTTTTTTTTCATGAGATGTTTATCTCATTGGACAAGAGAAAGATAAAGTTGTAAAGATGAAATAAAGTTTTGGAAAAATTCAAGAAAGATGCCCTCCCACATGTTAAGCATGCTTGTGTCTTGTATGACCCTCATTTTGACTGATGACTATGTGCTGTTATGCTCTCTCCTATGATATGGAAAGGACACTTTGGTGGATGGAAGAAAACAAAGAGCCAATCATATTGTTTAAGAATTGTTTAAGCTTGGTATGAGATGAAGCATACTGGGAAAATAAGTTGTAATGCTCTAAATTTTACCTTAGGCCTTGGAAGTGGTTGACGTGGATCAGCAGACTCAAATGGTGGCAGAGCTTGATGGTTCAGTCATGAAATGTGTCCGTGATCAGAATGGGAATCATGTCATTCAGAAGTGTATAGAATGCATCCCTCAAGACCAAATTCAGTTTATCATTACATCCTTCTATGGGCAAGTTGTCACACTTTCCACCCATCCTTATGGTTGCCGTGTCATACAGGTTAGTTGTTGGCATGTTTTTTTCCTTTTGTAGGGAATTGTTATGTTTACTAGTGCAAGTCTCTTTTGATGCCTACAGAGGGTTCTGGAACATTGCGATGATTCAAATACACAACAAATTATCATGGATGAAATCATGCAATCTGTATGCATTTTGGCACAAGATCAGTATGGAAATTATGTCATTCAGGTATTTTTATACTCTTTAGAAACTGTTATGTATATATTTGAGCTACAAGGATTATCTTTAGTTATTTTTTCCATAAATTGCTGCAGATTGTGTATTAGTATTTTGTTAAATGAGTTAAATCCCTGAAAATGTGCATCGTGTCAGATGGAAATGCTTGTTTTAAAGAAGGAAAAGAAAATTGGATTTTGCTTCATGAGCAGACATATTGTCCTAACTAGATAACAACTTAATTGGTTAGAAAATATTTGTTCATGCTGACCAGATTTGATCTTGTTTGGAATTATTATTATGAGCATTTGTACAGAACTGGACGCCGAGGTACCTGATATATATATATATATATATATTCGTATTTCTATGCCTTAAAGATTATTATTTATGATATGTCTCTCACATCATCTGGTTTGGGATTATTCTGCGCATTGGCACAAAACTGGATGCCGAGGTACTTGATATTTTATAGACTACATGCTTGAAAGCCGATGCTATTTATGATGTGTTCTCCCTTTGTAAACAATGTTAGTGTTATGTCTCTTTGAAAGCCTACACGATTTGTGATATGTAACATCAGCTATATGTACCTGATGTGAATGCTCATGTACTCATCATCAACTGTGCGTATCTGAAATAACTATTCTTGTTTGGTAGCACGTCCTTGAACATGGTAAACCACATGAACGGTCAGAAATTATCCACAAGCTTGCAGGACAAATTGTAAAGATGAGTCAGCAGAAGTTTGCTTCTAATGTTGTGGAGAAGTGCTTAACATTTGGGAGTCCTGAGGAGCGTCAGTTTTTGGTGAATGAGATGCTGGGTTCCACTGATGAAAATGAGCCCTTACAGGTCTGTTCCATTCCTAGTTTTCTTAAACCTTATACGGTTTTTCTACAGAAGATAATATAGGTTCTGAATCTAGTCTATATTAGTGGTGGCAATTGTTTGCGCAAAATGGTAACACAACTCGAAAACGATTGGTTACAAGTTACAACCGTGCTTGCATGTTTGTGTAAAAATTGTGTCAACCTGTTCAACGTGATTAATAAACAAATCAATATATATCACGTTGACCCGCCTAACCTGTTGTGTAACCAAATTTCAAAAATGCAAATATGCAGGCCATGATGAAAGATCCATTTGGAAACTACGTTGTGCAAAAGGTTCTTGAGACTTGTGATGATCAGAGTCTTGAGTTGATTCTTTCTCGCATTAAGGTTCATTTGACTGCCCTGAAGAAGTATACCTACGGCAAACATATCGTTTCTCGTGTTGAGAAACTCATCACAACTGGAGGTGAGGCTTTTCCTACAGAAATTATGGATGTTATCTTTTTACATAACACAAAATACAATGACCGCTAACAGATTTTTGATCTATCAAATGCAGAAAGGCGCATAGGGATGTCAGCCTCGCATTCTTCTTGAGGCATCCAATTCGGAGCAAGCACGGCATTTTTCCTGTTGCCACCACCAATAAGTATGCACCTTTTGTACAGCTAACATGGACAGGGACCTTAGCAAGTTCATTCGATCGTATAATATACAGAGGGACTATAGTTGTAAATAAGCATGAAATCCAGAGGCCCCTGCGATATGATATTTTTGTCTATCCGCCTCCGCGTAAACATTTTGGCTCACCAATTCTAATCTGATCATGAAGACTCCACATGGAGGAGGAGGGTAACTCTAGCCTGTGGAGAAGCACGTGTAAAAGGTTCATTGTCTATATTACAGCATTAAGTGTAAATGGTTAACTGCATTTTGAAAGAGAGGGTAAATAGGGAGTGTTTATGTATGGTGGGTCTTCGACTTTGAGAACTAAATAGTGTAAATATACTGCAATTTTCTCCAGGAGGAATCAAAATAACATTTAATTCACCTCTTTTTCATTCGTGTGTTAAAAAAATTCTTATTCACAGCTAAATGGCAAATTAGACACAAAGGGTTGTCACCTTGTCGCTTTCCCAAGGGCTTTAAAAGCGTTTTGAAAAAAGAAAAGAAAAGGGCTTTACAAAGCGAATAAATCATTCGAGCCTGTAACAACAAAAGCACCTCCTGGTTTCAGTTCTATTATCGCCCTCATGCCATGCCAAGCTTGTTCTCCACTTTTTCATTTCCGGAAAGTGATTGCGCTGCGTAAGTCTTTGTCGATTTAAGCTTTCTCATTTGTTGTTTTGAACTCTTCAGGCAAAAGATGTTTTACTGAATGTTCTTTGTAACTAAGCCTGTTCTCTGTAACTCCATTAGAAGACTCTCTTCAGCTCTCCTACTTTTAGTTTAGAAGCAACTTCTTACCGGTCTTCCATTGGACTATGTACTGAAAATCATCTACTAAGTACACTCTGCCACCTCCTTTCCATCTTCATTCTCAGAACCTGAATCCCAACGATCAGCGAACCGGCTATTCACTCTCCTAGTTTTCAAGATCGTCGCCGATTCCCTCATCAAATTAATGTACTTATTCCTTACCCTTAAAAGTGGATGCCTCTCAATAGTAGATTCGTCACAGTAAGCCTCTTTAAGGATGGCTGTACAAGTCTTGTTCCTCAAAGACAAATAAAACATACTGGGGTGCCTCTCAAATGCTTTGTGCACCTTCTGTGGCAGCCCCATGTGCTTCTTAAGACACAGAAGCTTCTTCCTCTCCGCCGAATGCTCAACAAAGAGACTAAGCAACTCATGAAGAAGCCCCACAACTCGTTTTTCGGATATGTCACTATCTGGATCCAAATGCGAAAATTCCTCATAAGGTGAAACATAGGGAAGCTTCTGAAACTCCTTTAACCAGTCCACAATCTTCCTCCTCAACCTCAAACCCTTAGATGGGAAAAGAGGAAACTCAATTGCCTCCATTGGACCTCCAAGATACACCCCTTTTTTCATTGCATTCCTTTGCACCGTAGACAAGACCTTTTCACCACTCTCCACAGCCAATCCCTTTAACCCATCTTCCATCTCCACAAACCTAAAAGACTCATCCAGATTCTTATCCGGGTGCTGCAAGAAATCATCAGGCAAACCCAAATACCACTGCATTCCTTGTATTATTTTCAAAGGCAAAACCTTTTCTTTACTCATCAGGATAAACTTTTTCAACCTATCCCTCAAGTCCTCCCTGCAATCCTCATAAACCCTTTTCTCCTCCCTATCAATCTCATCAGCTTCTGGGGTCAACCTAAACCATGGAAGATTGTATTGTGGACCAGTAAACTCTTCAAAGATTGATGGGTAGAGCCTCACGAACCTTGCAACCTTCATGGGGACCTCCAATTGTATGCCCCTTTTGGACACATCAGAGATTGGGATGCAACCATTGGGGTCCTGGGAAATGCAGTTCTTGAGAGAGATGATGGGTTTAAGCACTATGGACTTGTGAATTTGCTCGATTGAATCGTAGTACGAGTCTTTCTTCCATTTCATGTAGACATCGACATAGTTGAATTTCTGGGTGTATGTGTGAGGAGGGTTATGGGGATGGCGCAGGAAGGAAAAGATTGTTTGTTCAGAGGGGAAGATGAGGTTTTTTAGGGATTTGCAGGTGGGTTTGTTGAATAACATGTATAGGGTTTTAGTAGGTACCTTCTACCTTGTATAGGTTTTAGGAAAATCTACAAATTTGTAGAGTTTTTGAAGGGTTAGGGAGGGATTGCGTTTTTACCTGATGAGAACAAAAATTGCAGCAATGGCACGAACAATACCGTGTCTTAATGGAAGACCCTTTTTTACCCCCCCCCCCCCCAAAAAAAAGGGGGTTAACTAGTGATTTGCCCCTAAATTGATACTCAACTTTTGACTTACCCCCATCATTTTTTTGGGAGACTTTGTAAAAAGACAAAGGAGAAACAAATTTTTGAAAAGAAGCCAAAATGGATAAAATTGCCCTTATTTATTTTTGGATTTCATAAGGAATCCTTTACATTTGCATGTCTTTGATTTGAAAGTTGAGAGGTTTTTCTATATTTTTTGAAAAAGCTTTGGCTTTTTCCAAAAGTGAAATTTTTTTTTTGGCTAAAACTTAAATTTACTCATTTTTTTAAGGGTGATTTTATTGGCACCCCATTATTTGCTCTTTACACCCCATACTAATTTTAAATATGAATAATTTATTTTACCCTTGTACACAATTACTGTTAAGGACAAAAAAAATTAAAATTAAAATTAAAAGTGCTCACTACACCCCACATATGTTCCTGAAACCCTAGTTTGACTTTTTTTCTCAAACTATCATGTTCATAAACCCTAAACCTTAGATTTATACGTTTATACCGGTGAAAAAATATCTTGTATTTATTCATGAATGGTGATATTGAAGTTAGAGAGGCTTCGAATGAGGTACGAGTTTATTTTTTGGCATTTTGCAAGTTTAGTATTTCATAACGGTCGCTGGTTGAGTTCAGTACATCAATACCGAACACGACAGGTAAATTCGGTGGGATGCCACCAAAACGTTGCACCGTTTTTGGTTGGGTTTGACCGGTCAGCAACTTAATATTCGGTGGAGATCCACCGTAAGATGGAACGTAGTTTAGTGGTTTACTACAGAAATTTTACCTGCGTTTCAGTGGCATCCAACCAAAATTTATTTATTTATTCAGTAACTTATTGCCGACCACAAATTTAATCCAAGCTATTTTGATCTTACTCCCATTGAAGGAACAAAAACAAGGTGACGCCCCTACTGAAGGCAACAATGTGGGAACAGAATGTGTAATGGACTATAGTGATCAATTCACAACTTATTTGTATGAAATCTTTTTTAGTATCATTAACGTGGCATTAATGTTTCAAATTTTATATTTAAATAATATGAGTTTTATGTATAGATATTCAATGGTAGAGATGCATTACTTCAATGGGCTCGTGAACAAGGAAAATTGAATAATATTGTCATTGTAATTAAAAGGTCTGACTATGAAGGTGAGGGCAAGAGGAGACCTCGTGTAATACTTGCTTGTGAGAGGAACGGTAACTATAAGTCTTGCAAGTCTAGTAAGACAACTGATATAAGGTCAGATGCAAATAGTGATATGAAAAATGGTGCTAGGGACACTGGTACCAAGAAATGTGGATGTCAATTCTTGTTAAAAGGTGTCAATATTGGTGATGAGGATGATTGGAAGTTGGAGGTGGTTTGTGGAGTACACAACCATCATATTTCAGAGTATCTTCAAGGTTATTCATTTGCGGGGCGACTTACTGAAGAAGAGAATGCCTTGTTGGTGGACATGTCTAAAAGTTTGGTGAAACCCATAGATATTTTGGTCACCATTAAAGATAGAGATGCAATGAATGTTTCAACTATGAAGACAATATACAATGCTAGGATCCGAAATAGAACCAAAGAATTTGTTGGGAGAACCTAAATGCAACAATTGCTTACTAAGTTATCCGAACACAATTATATTGAGTGACATAGGACATCTGGTGATATTGTAACTGACCCGTATTGATATTTTGCGTGCATTTCCACATGTACTTATCATGGATTGCATCTATAAGACTAATAGGTATCGTTTCCCACTATTGCCAATTGTGGGGGTGACATCTACTAATATGACATTCTCTGTTGCGTATGTGTATATGAATGTCGAGAAGGAATGCAATTACACATGGGCATTGACTACATTGAGGAGTTTGTTGGATGATAATTGTCTTCCTAGTGTTATTGTCACCGATCGTGAGTTAGCACTTATGAATTCTATTATGTCTATATTTCCGAAAGCATGACATTTATTATGTAGATGACATATTAACAAATGAGTGTTGGCAAACTGCAAGAAGTTATTTGGGACCCTCAAACAATGGAAGCAATTTAATGAGGATTGGAATACTTTGGTTGGTTAAAAAACGGAGGAGGAATATTGGCGTTGTTATCAACAGAGCGGAAAGTGTACATGCAAAGTTAAAGCGACAGCTCCGCTCAAGCCAACTTAACTTTGAGAGTTCATGGGTAACTATACACTCATTGTTAGAGCTAGAGCACACAGAGATTAAGGCATCTTTTGAAAAGAGTCGATGTTTTATTAAACATAGGTTCAGGCATCCGGAGTTGAGAGAGTTAGTAGGTTTTGTTTCTATAAAGGCTTTCAGTGTAATTGTGTGCGAGTCAGAAAGGTAAATTCTGTTTACTTATTGCATGTACATATATGGTTTACAGAATTAACATTGTAATTTTTTTACAATTAGGTTAGAGATAGATGGGGTGGATGCTTTATCATGTGGTTGTGCCATTCGTCGAACCCACCAATTACCATGTGCACATGAAATTGCGGAGTATAGAGAGCGTGGTGTACCAATACCACTTGATGTCGTGCATTCACATTGGAGGAAATTAGATCTAATCAATATAGGAAACAGTAGTCATGGCACAACTTCACCAGGAAGGTCACAACTACAATAATTAAATATGTGGTATGAACAATAAGATGATGAAAATAAGAGACAAGTCCACATGACACTGGAGGAGCTAATGAACCCTGGTTCTACTGCGCTTACTGAACCAAAAGAAAAGTTGAAGACCAAAGGGAGACCGCGAAAAGTCGACACTTCTACTCGTCGTTTGCCATCTGCATTTGAGATTGCTGAGGCCTCTATTGCTCTACCTAAAAATAAACCAAAGCAAAGCCTCACTGCCTCACTAAAAATAAAACCGAAGAAAAGTACCACTGTAGTGCCAAAAAAAAAGAAACATGGTTGCTTCTAGTTCCATGTTGTCTAATCCAAAAAAATTTAAGGTATATACTACAAATTAGGGGTGGGCACGGTACGGTACGGTACGGTATTGAGCCCGTACCGCTACCGATACCGGAAATTTT